ATAATTTTGATAATATATTGAAGGGTTTAAACCTTAAACAACATTAATAGTAAACAATATTCCAATAGTTTAAACGAAATTCAGTTTACAATCTAGAATTAATTACAGATGCTAGGCTAACAAATGCACTTAACCCTAGCCTAGGTCAGGCTAGGATCAAAATAGTAAGGTTAGGTTTGACATTTTAGCTTGGCCTAACTAAAACCCAAGGACCAATACTTGGGTTTCATATTTAGGTTGGGCATGGAATGGTCCTAAGCCTTGCCTAGTCCAACCAAATAGTAGTGCAATTGTCAATAATTTCAAACATTGACTACCATTAGGCCTTGTTCACTTTTTGATAAGTTACTTGCTCTGGTAAATGCATTTACCCATGTTCTTTTATTTTTCAGGTAAATAAGGCAATGACTAGGGGTGAGCATTTGGTTTATTCAGTTAAAAACTGAACTGAATAAACCAAATTTAAAAAAAACGAAATAAAGAAATAAAAACTGAACCAAAACTGAATTACAAGAAAACTGAAATTTTTGGTTTGGTTATTTCAATTAAAAACCAAATTTAATTAATATATATATAATATTATATATTATAACCTATAATATATATTATGAAATTGAATTCCATTATAATACATTATATATAATATATGAATATATAAATATATAGCATATTATACATTAAATGTTATATATTGTATATTATATATTACGTATTATATAATGAATTTCAGTTTATTCGGTTTTTTCAGTTAACCAAATTTCTAACTTTGAAAACCAAAATTCCTAAAAACCAAATTAACCAAACCAAATTACCCAAAAACCAAAAATAATAGAACCGAAAAAACCAAAATCAAAATTTTTGATTTTATCCAAATAATGCTCACCCCTAGCAATGACCATTTTAGCTATAAAACTAAATCTTATCCCATTCAAGTGTTGGCAACATTCCCATAAGTGAAAAAATTATTTATTCACCTAAGAGAAAGATATCACTTACTTGGAAAAATAAAGTTTTCCAGCTTCCAACATAAACCTAAAAAAAAAAAGAAAATAAATTTTTTGGTCAATGGAAACCACTTAAAAAAAGATCATGCATATATATATATATATATATATATATATATATGTTTGAGGGAGAGAGAGAATTGGACAGAACAAAACCAAATGACCAATATATGAAAAGCTTAAAATGCCTATTTCAGCCAACACAGCCAAAATATTCCACCTAATTTATTGGACGTAACCCACGAATATGTGGTGTTTATCTTCTGGAAATGAATAACCATTTTTTGTTCTCATCTTCCTTTTTCATGTAGTTCTCATCTTGATGTCTTCTAATAGCTCCCCATAGGGAATGAACTTATCTTCACATCACACCAAGTAATAACCATTTTTAGATTAATACCAAAATAAGGAAATAAATAAATAGATAAAACCTTATTGTAAAACTCCAAACTTCTTTACCAACACAAAACCTCTTATAAATTTAGTAATTGCTATTAGTTCACTAGCAAGGCCCTTAACACAATTGTGCCCAATCTCATTTCCAGTAGTATATATATTCTAATCTTTCTACCTTTCTAACTAGGTGAAAACATTAGCTTGATCAATTAATTAACTTCCTATACATTAAAGTTAAAATTTTTTTCTAACATTACTTTCATTTTTCTCAACAGCTGAAATGCCAAACGCTGAAATACATGCTTCATCAATTTCTAAGAATAAAAAGAGAACTCGGGACAGAGAAGATATTAGTTGGAAACACTGCACTGAAGTACAAGATGAATCTACTGGGAAAAGTGTAAGAGTGTGTAACTATTGTGGAAGAAGATACAATGGTGGTGGGATACAAAGGATAAAGGAACACTTGGCACATGAGGGAAAAGATGCACAGAAATGCCCAGAAGTTCCTCCTGGAGTTAAAGACCTGATCAGGCGTGATCTTAAAGCAAATGCTCTGAAGAAGCAACAGCAACAACTTATTGCATCTAAGCATATACAGATTCCCAACAGTTGCGATAATTCTACTAAAAATCGTAAAAAAGTACATATAAAGCCCAAAATTTCTTTATATAGTTGAGAGTTGTCAATGATAATGATATCTTGTCTAAAGTATTTGCAACACGCAGTTGCATAACGTGCAAACCGTAATAAGGATTCACTTGATTTGCAGTCAGAATTGGCATCAATATCGAAATTCACCGGAATTGGAATTGAAGTAGGCCATTCCCATAATTTGTTTGGTTCATACAGGAATGGGATTGAAAACTGAATTCAGCAGGAATGAAATTTCATTTCCTAAGGAGGGGCAGGGAATGACCAGTCTTTCAAATGGGAAAATGTCATTCCAGCAAGAATGAGAATTGGATTCCAATTCCAACCAACCAAACAGTTGGAATTGAAATAAGCCATTCCAATTCCGATTCCAGACCCCTATTCCGATGAATCAAACGGGGCCTTAAACTTCAAGTTAGGAACAAAATTGTATTAACTTTCAAGCTAGTTCAATATCCCGCCCATTGGTCTGGTTTTTGATAATTGCATCATTTAATTTTCCCCTCCCAAACATTAGATATCATTCATCTAATTAATTATGATTTTCTTTTCAGGCCGGAAAGAGCAAAGTGAAACTTCAGTGCATGCCTACCCACAGTGTGTTTGGGAACAGAAATGAATCCCAATTTGGAGGAGACTCATCCCATATGGTACAAGCTTCTCCTTAAATTCCTAGAAGTATTGCTTTCTCTTTATTGTTAATTTTCTTGCAGGGAAAGTATGCAGTGTAGGCTATATTATTAGTACGGAATTAAGGCTCCGTTTGGGAAGAACATAAATACAAATATGCACAATGTAAATACAGGTTTAGAAAAACAAAATATATACAAGGCTTTGCACTGTATATATTTATATTTGCATTCTTTTCAAATTGAGCCTAAATAAATTAAATGACATGATAGGGTAGTAGTTGACCTGAATCTTTTAATGGATAAGTCATTGAGTAGATTGTATTGAAGGGAATTTTTTATTGATTATCATACTCCTAAATATTTTATTATATGACTGTTTGATTCAATGAAAAGCAATAAGCAATTCAGTTCAGCTACTTCAAGTCCAAAATCTTCATTAATAACCATGGGAAGGTGACTATTTATTGGTGATTTCACTTATCATTTAGGTTTGTTAGCTCGGTCTAATTGTTTTATGATTGGTTTATATTTCACCATTTGTATTGATCAAACTTTGCTTTTTAATAACCACTTTCTTTTTTTTCTATTTTTCCTTATAGGCCATGATGATGGATATGGAGATTCCCTCAACAAACACCACCACCTTGGAAGTTGAGACTCATCCTGAACCTGAGCGGAGGTCAACTAATGGAGTAATTAACCTTGTTCTTTCTCTAAAATTACATTTTTATAAATCGTACGTTCAAATGCATTGTTACCATATACGGTCCTAATAAGTGTCAATTTTTAGATTGTTGAAAGGGTAACAAATATTGAGGTTCAACGGCAACAACTACAAGACCTTGAGTCTAAAATACAGGAGTTGCATCAGTCAATAAGACAACTGATTGAATGTAAGTCATCAGAAATGCTCGAGGGGTTGATTGAATGTGAGAGAATAATGCACCAAGAATTCACCTCCCTATCGCTCCAAATTGAGAAATCTTCTACAATTTCTAAAGAAAATTAAGCAGACAACCAAGAGGTGACCAATTTACAGGTACGTAATTGCTCTTGATAGTTATTCACCCAAGACGAATCCAAGCCTAACATTGGGAATCAATATAATACTCGAATAATAAATTTTAGCTACCAAGATGAGCTATATATGCACTAGTAGATGCATGGTAGCATAGTACAAACTAATTTAGGCTTTGGTGGCTCCGGATCTTCTACTATTACGCTTTACCCTCTCTTCTCCATTGCTCATATTTGCTTTCGTCAGCTCCTTTTCTCTGTAGATCAGAAGAAGATGAAGATGGATTTCATTAATGCATGATCTTGATTCTCGATTCATTTACAACTTCTCTAACACACGCATTGAGAGCCTCACCAAAAGATTCCCCCCCTGCATATTGTTGTCTGCCCTTATTTCGGCTCCTTCATCTTCAACACCTACCGTTTGACCTCCATCACCAATACCAGCTTTGACATCTCCACCAGCTTCCACCCTTTTCTTTTTATTAGAGAATATCAATCTATTCATGAACCTGACCTAATAGCTTAAGCTTTTAGGTTGAATGGTTCTTTGACATGGTATTAGAGGCATTTTGACCAAGTGGTCTAGTGTTTGATTTTCATTATCTCCATTATAATTAATTAAGTTTCATCACAAGGTATGAGTGGGCCTGTGCACATTTACACTTCAAGTCCAATGAGCTTTTGTGTGAGGGGGAGTATTAGAGAATATCAACATATTCAAGGACCTCACCTAATAGCTTAATTAAGCTTTTAGGTTGAATGGTTCTTTAAGACTCTTTCACCTTCTGCCCCATTTCCTCCCATGTCAACACCAGCTTCTACCCCTTCTCCAATATCATAAATCTCTCTACTCTGTTGCCTCACTTCCCTCACCACCTCCATCATCTCCTTCTCCCTCGTCCTAACACCCCATCTAGAAGTTTATCACGATGTTCAATGTACACTCAAACCCCGCCATTAGTTAATTGAACAGAGTCACTATGCATTTCAAAATGCACTAATGCATGGGAGATTTTATTTTCATTCAATTTGGTCAAGTAACTCTTTGTTTTCAAATTCTTTGACAACTTCATTGTAACTATGCATTTCTTTTATTTGCAGACAAATGTGATGTTTCCAGAAGCTTTAAATTTTCCTTCTTTCACTGAGTTGGAGAAAAGAGCGATTATATATGCTTTATTTAACCCCAATAAACCGATTAAGTAAGCAAATGCAGATATCGTCATCATTATTATATATTATTATTTGTTGTCACATATATAACATCAAAAACAATCCTTTTATGTAGAGAAAATTTGGTAATTCTGCGGAGGTATCATCTAACTAGGTCTGAGATTCTTAGCATGAAAGATGGCGAGTGGGTTTCTAGTGCTGTAAGTTGTTACCGAGACAAAGGTGTTTTGCATTGTATATATAATATAATCTCCATATGTAACAAGGAATTAGAATGGAAAACTTTGTTTCTCATGCAGGTTGTGAACTGCATCGTGGATGTACTTGTACTTGAACAGTTCACTAATGATGATTTGGTAAAACGCTACTACTTTCCCTCATATTTTGCGGTAAGCTCACAATTAATACATTAAATCACTAAAACAACCTTATCTCCTATCTACTCATTTTCCTAGTTGCAAACGCAGGAAAAGATTCTAAAAGATGAACCCCCGAGTCTTGATGAGTTGAATGCTTTTTATGACCCAAGCCTACTTAGATATGATCTATGGCAATATGACATGGTATATTCTTGGATAACCTACCTAATAAATAAATTATAAATTAATTCAAAATTACAACTAATTACTATACATATTTTTCAAGCAGTTATTCATCCCACTTTGCATCCTGCACCACTGGTTCCTATATGTCATAAATCTAAGGGACAAGAAGATGCAGATTCTTAACAGCTTACCAGAGTTTATAATCCAAATAGAACCCAAGCATCATTTTAGAATGGTTTGTATTGCCATAATTACTACTGTGTTAATTAGTTGTTCTTGTCATCCCATGTTGTTATATGCTAATCAAATGTTGTGTTTATCTAATTTCCAGAAAGAAACTTGTAGCCAAATACTGAGTCACTTGAGCGGAACACCCATGCCAATTACAGAATGGGGTGTAGAATTTACTTACCTTCCAATTCAAAAAAACAAGTAATTTATTTGATAATTGATGTATTCAGTTTTTTTTTTTTCTTTAGCATCATTAGTAAACATAATGGATCAAGCGGAAAAGTCTAAAATGGTGGTTGTTATTGTAGCAGAAGCGATTGTGGTATATTCATGATAAAGTACATGGAGTATTGGGATGGGCAATTAACAAAGTCCTTTTCACAGGTAAATTTCAAATGCCTTCCTTCTTTTCTATACCTTATTTCATGAAATTGTGTATTTCTTTCACCATTATATTTTATTACTTACATATTGTTTAACATAGGATGATATTCCATACTTTCGCCGGAAGATTACAGCTGATTTATTGTTGCACTCAGAAAATAAGATCAAATATTTACAATTTTGAAGAAGCAAAAGGGTTAATTTTCTCAGGTTTTTTATTTTTCTTACCTCAGTATTTGTATCATGAATTTATCTTTTTTTTCGTTTCCATGATATACCAAATGGACTCCACCTAGCCATAGCCAACTATTATATTTTCGAGTCCCACAAATAGGCCACTTTATATTGTCTGTTCTACTCTCTCGGTACATGTGTAAAATTACATTTTCATATATATAAGAGCAATACTAAGCATAAGAGATCAGATATGTACACCTTTGCATAAGCCACCACACCATTTAGGAATGGGGTGAAGCTTCTCTAGGGTAATCCTAAGCGCTCTGCAAACTGTGCAAGAAGAAACGCTAATAAAGGAGGACCGACCTCCAATAGAGTCAAAACTCCACAACGAATTCTCATAAACTGGTGAGCAAAATGACAAGAGGAGTTATTAATCAAATCGAAAACTGATCAAGAGGTGGTTACAAAGCCACAAGCCATGAATTGTAATTTCCAACCACGCCAAAAATTACAAAAGACAACATCATCCGTAACTGCCACCGAACACACCAAAGAACTGCTGACTACAAGATGTCTTCCAAAGAACGCTAGAGAATTGTAACGTCCATCCACAATGTTGGGGAACGGACAGTCCATTCACAACGCCAGAAAACTGCAACTGTCATCTGAAAAGCCAGTGCCATCCAAGGCATTGGAGTACGAAATCAGCCATCTAGTATGTCAGAGAAACATAAAAGCGGAGAGAAAACTATTTTGGAGCACCATCTCGGCCATCTAGGACGTCGGAGCACGAAATTAGCTAGCAAGCACTATCTTCGGCATCTAGGACATCAGAGAATGAACTCAACCATCTAGCATTAGCTCAGTCATCTAGGACATTAGAAAGCCCACAGAAAGAAAGCAAACAAAGAAACACAAAGAAGATGGGAGAAACAGAGAAAGAAGTGGGTGATACTCGAGAGATCTAGAGAAATCTCAAGAGAAACAGAGATCTCAAGAGAGAGAAGGGAAAAAACACAAAAAGAGGGGAAAAGCATAGACGACGGGAAGCATAGATCGCAGGAGAGAGAGGGGGGAGAAAGCACAAGGAGGGAAAAACAAAGAGGGGAAAAAACAACCTTGAGAGATCTCGAGAGTAAAACCTCTGAAATCAGAGAGAGAAGGGGGGTGTGACCCTTGGCGGTCACCCCAAGCAATCTTCTAAATGGCGGAGTTTCCTTTTGGTTGAAGCGATGGGGGCATGCTCTGTCGCTTCTCTCAAGGACTACGCCCTATTGACACTTCTAATGTTAAGTTTGTAGGCTCAAATAATAGGACGCTAGAGTCTAGATTTGCTTTTTATATATTTTTAAGGGCAAAAATTAACTAACTCTGTTCTTATTATTTATATATTGTCTTAAAGTACCTCCAAATTCTCTGAAGTCGTCATTAAATACTAACAAAAAAATGAAATATTCAATTTTGTCCTCCATAATTTCTCAATTTTTCAAAATAAAACTCAATTAATAAAAAAATTATTACTTCTTTTTTCATCGTTGACCCCATCAAATAGACCCTGTCCAAGTCAAAGACCTTCATTTGTTGAAAGCATTGCTAGAATTACAATGGTAGCATCTTTCAATCCTTCCTCTGACTCTGCATATCTAACCATTTAGAACAGGAGAAGCTCTAAGGCGCATCTAAAGACACCGTCTGCTGTTGGGTTCGTGTTGCATGATATCAAACCCCTATACTCTCCTCTACTATTTCTAAGGAATGTAAATCAGCTCCTATTAAAATACTCAAAACAAAGTTTATAATCTTCCAATGTGAGACAAATTCAAAATTGGGTTTTGTAAGAAAAAAGCTAATTTTTCAATCAAGTTTGCAGGTGCAATTTCTCATGTAATTGACCAATCAAACCCATTGGATTTAATCTCTTATGAGATTAAAATCCAACACCCTTTTCGTACGTCTTGGGAGTTCATGAGACAACCCAAGAGATCCTTCGCCACTAACTTCTTATTCTTCGTCTTACAGATTATCTTGCTCAAGATCTCACCTATGAAACAGCCAATCAGCCTGACATCATACCGAGAAGAGTTTTATAGAGCAATACTTAACTTACCATGACAAGCAGTTCCCGGAATGTTTATCGGAAAAGAGTTGTAGCCTATATGAAAAGAGAAATGCCATTTGCCAAAGATCAAAGAGGACCATTAGTAATAAATTATAGAAAACCGTGAGAAAAAGTGAAAAAAAATTGCCAAAGATCATAATCTTACTCCTATCTCTCTCTATATCTGGTTTTATCCGTCCAAAAAAATACAGAGGTTCAAAACAAGACGACACAAGTTTCACATTAGAGGCAAGCGTAACCACCATTTCATATAAAATATAGCATCGAAGAAACCAACCTTCTTCATTTCCTAGAATGTGTTCACAAGATGGCCTCTGGACTATGACTCTAATGTGGATATCGCAAGGGCGTCAATGTCGGAAGTTCTTAGATGGTTTTTAGGGAGAATAATAGTTTAGTCCAGGGTCAGAATTTGTAGGTTTAAAGTACATTTGGGGTAGATGCCAGTTTGAAATTGATGTCAATTCACGGATGGATATAGATGTATAGTGTAGGTTTTTGAGATTTTGAATATTTATAGATTTGCAATGTTTGTCCTACTTTTTTGTTAGTCAATTTCCTAATTTCCTGAATGAAGGTTCTTTAAGAAATTTGCCCTATTATGTTTGAGAGATGTTCCCCATGTAATGTAACTGTGAGGTCCGTGTGAGGAGTAAACTAAACACAGATCTGGCCCATGATCAACCCTTGAACTGAGCCAAAGAATATAGAACAGAGGCCGAATATGCTTCTCACAGAGCATACCTCATGACTCCGGATCTCTTGCTTACCTCTACCAACAACTACTCCCGTGAATTGGAAATATCTATCCTGCATAAAGGATGAAATGTTCTCCAAGTGACTGCCATGTTATCGATCCGAATTCATCCGAGATGTTAACAATACACGGTTAGATGCGGTGTGAGGCCTGTATTTGGAGCAGATCCCAATTCTGTAGAACAAGGACAAATTAGTCAACTTATGTTAACCGAGGTTATTTTGGTAATTACATGGATGTTCAAATATAGCATAATTAACGAAAGGATCATACAACCCCACGGCCCCATCTGACCACCTCGCTCACGCTTCGCTCGCTCTCTCTCTCTCTCTCCGACCTCCAACTCGAAGCGGGAAGAACGGTTTTCACATTCTCGTCTCCTCCTCTGCATTCCGCCACAAAACACTCCCTCTCCTTCTCTCCCTCCGAAAAACTTCTCTCTGTCCCCCTCTATCTGGGATCTTCCATCCAAAACTCCTATCTTCTCTCTCAGACAAAAGAAACAAAACCAGGCATTCTGCGGATTTCAGGGACCAAAGCACAGATCGGACGGTGTCGGTCCATGACGCGCCTGCCTCGGAAGCGGCAGGGCTTGCCCAAAGACGACGATTTGGCGGCAGACGACGCCGGAGACTCGGTGGCTACTGAGAATTGTTCGTCTTCTTCGGTTGAGTTCGAGCCGCATTCATCTCCGTCGCCAGTTGCTGATACAGAACCAGATAGCGAGGCTAAGGACAAACCTGTTCGGGTTTACGCAGATGGCATCTATGATCTCTTCCATTTTGGCCATGCTCGATCGCTCGAGCAGGCGAAGAAACTGTAAGCTTCTCCGACGTCGTTTCTAGTTCTCTGTAGTAATAACTGTTGGATTGGTTTAGACATCAAGAACCTTGAAATGGTTCTTTCAATGCAGAGTATCTGATATTGAAATGATCCGAATTCATCCATAATTCTTTGTTTTGTAACGAATTCTGTTTAATAGTAATCTCATTACCAAATTATTTGTAATTTTACTGGTTTATTGATAATGTCAACTCGATTAGATGATTCACTCATTCTAGGACAAGTAATATGTTCTTCTGAGATTTTGACTTCGTTAAGCACACGTTGGTTTGCTGTTGCAATTCCAAGAATATCCATAAATATATAATTATTGTAAATAGAATTAATTATGGAATTGTATCTAATTTGCGAGCGGGATATTTAAATAGATTATATTATTTTATTAAAGCTAAACCTATAAGGTTCCGACATTTTTTTGTTGTTGTTTCTTTTTCTACCAAAAAAACAAATTCTTTTGTTTTGAGTTATTGCCAACTGCCGCTGCCGGTGGTTGAAACTTGGAAGTAGGAGCATTAGTGTGAATAAGGATGATACTTGATATGTGTTGAAAAGGATTCATGTGTAAGAATGGGACTGTGTTATTTAACTTCAACTTCTTACGAAAAAAAATTGTGTTTTCACCGTGAAATGTTTTTTTTTTTTTTAACTCTTCTGTCATCTCTTTTGGGTCTAATTGCTCCTTGATGAACTTATTCTTCTGGTACAATCCTGAAAACGTATTTTGGGTCTACTTTACAGCGACTATTTTCTAATTGAACAAATAAGAATAAACATCTTTAAGCCAAGGCTTGGCTAAAGTCTCACAACAATGGCAAGCTATTAAGATTCAACTGCTTTTCCTATTATAAAATAGTTTACTTATATTCAATTAGCAAGGTAGATAGATGGTGCTACCCATTTTTCTTTTCCCTCTTTATTGGTGATGCATCACCAAGTTCTTTAATCAGAGAATCCTATTAGACATTGCAACACCTGCTTGCTATTTAGTTGTTATCAGAACTTTAAATCCTCTGTTTCTTTTTCCTTTTTCTTTCCTGCTGATACAAAAGCAACCACAATCTTCATGGCTTGTAGTTACGAGGCCTTTAATGTGGATATAAGGATGATTCAATACAGTGGGCTCCCTTGGAGATGTGACAAGGTTTAGAAGTCATAGGAGTTAGGATGCAGCTGCCCCTAGAACAGTTCGTCTTGACCTTTGGATTGTTTGACAGTTTCTATTTTACTAATTAGGTACTTTTGGCAGTGTAGCTTTTAGGTTTCTTCTTGAAGAACTGTGATGGTGGGCAACAAGAAGTGTCCTACTTCATTTTCCTCGAGTTAACTGTTTATTTCTATAGAGAACTGGATTATAATGGTTGATACAAGTACAACATTACAGGTAATGGATTGCATGAATGCTATCAAAGGTCTTTTGATTTCAGTAGCAAGAGTTTCTAATGCCATGAAAATACAGATTTTGCTTTGGACTATATATGTCAAAAAACTTTTAAAATGGAAATACATAGAAACATCTACCACACTGTGTAGGGCAAGGCACAGTGCTCATTACTGTGGCCTGGAATTTTATTACTCTTTTGTGATGGATAGGAATTTCTTTAGTTTCTGGATCATGGTCATTATATTTCCTGCTTGGGAATATCCTTAGCAAGGCTGTATGCATCTAAGCCTCAGTTCCTGTTTTTCTTTTTTTCTGTCTTTCTTATTTATTCTTTCTGGTTATTTGTCAACTCAGGTAAATTATAATGATGCTAGAAATACCTATGTTGTTCTGAGTTTCTTCATCTACACATTTTTTTCAGGTTCCCAAACACATATCTGCTTGTTGGTTGCTGCAACGATGAGGTTACACACAAGTACAAGGGGAAAACTGTTATGACTGAAGCTGAACGATATGAGTCCCTTCGTCACTGCAGGTCCTTGTCAATTAAACTTAGTGATCTTAATTCCCTCCAGAAAGTATAAGAAACTTACTAGTTCTGACGATATCTTAAATATTCTATGGAATAAGGATTTTGAGGTCATTTTGGTGAAGATATGCCACATGTTTGGACAGTCTTTTTTGTAGTTTCATCTTGCAATCTATTCTGGTCCAATTTCCTTGATTTATTCCCTTACATGATCACTTGACAGGCATCCATATTCCATTCATGATATTATTTAGTTTATCTTGATTTTTCATGCTTTTATTCTCCCTTGGAACACTACTCCATAGCATAAGATGAAGAAATGTCATGGATTTAATCTATCCTAGCAAAGGAAAGTATTAATATAGGACATTGTAGAGCCATATTGAGACAATTAAACTGCATATTGCTATAAACTTGTACATGCTTCCTTCTCAAAAATATTTTTGTGCTAAAAAATGGAAGTGGTGATGCCAGTTGTGGGATTCAAATCCTATTATGTGACATCAAGTTTAGGCCTTTCAGTATTTCTTTTTATCTGTTATATGCGTAGAAGACATATTAGAGAAGTAGTTTCCTGCAAGTAGTTAATTCTAAGAGAGCTAGGAGAAGGCCAAGAAGGGTGTTGTTGAAGTAGTGAGAGAAGACCTGACAACTCATAATATAGCAGAATATATGTCCATCAGTAGAAAAGAACATGGGATTCTTGTGGCCAATCTTAGGTATTCATGGGCAATGTTTTGTTTATTTGAGTTGATGTGAACTCAAATGAGGCTGAGTTGAATGAAGGGAAACACTTGGGAGGACAGAAATTAAGAATCTATGCCTTTCATGAGATTATTTTGGTAGGGCCAGTAATGATTAGGTCAAGTCAATTGAGATGGTTCCATCATGTATATAGAAGAACAACACCTGCATTAATGAGTGATCTGGTATAAATTGAGGGTTTTAAAAGAGCAAGAGCAAGGTAAGGCCACAACATTCTTAGGTTGGAGTAGTAAGAAAACACTTGAGTGATCCAAACTGATAGGGGCATTACAAGGCTTGAGATTTGCAAGAAATCTAAATATGAGGAAATTTGTTGTAGAAGAGGAAGATAGTTATAAAATGGATGCCACACAACAAACAAGGACCTCGGCAGTATTGACATCACTTGTAAAGCTGAGAGCCCTAGCTTCAGAACTGAATGCAAGGTTTCTATGGACCTATAGATCAACAAGCGTGATGGCTGATGCCAATTCCTGATGGCTAGAGAAAGAGTGAAAGGGGAACAACTGTATTGGGGTATTTTGTAATAGGAAACAAAATTAGCAGAGGAGATAGGCATCAGCTTCATTTGGGGAATGCTTGGCATTCCTTCTTAATAAAGGTTATACTTTATTGGGATAAGGTTTAGATGATGGTGATGATAAAAGTTATAGCTACGAATTTAAAAAAAAAAAAAAAAGAAGCAAACCCAAATGGTTGGGATCAGGATACTGATCAAAAAAGAAGAGTTGATATGAGGATTTGCTAAAGTGAATCAAATAAGAAAGAAAGAAATATATAAAAAAAGAAAGATGAATTGGTATAAGAATTTGGTGAATTGAATCAAATACTATTCCATCTCAATCACTTCTCCACAAACAAATAGCATGGATGCAAACCCAGCTCTGATCTATGCTTCAATTTCTATTACAAACCTTGTTAGCATGGAGGTCTTTTATTCGTTGAAAGAAAACATTGATTGGTTACAAGAATCTTACCTAAGATATTGATTCCCTCAGCTGTTTCCACTCCCATTTTGCTATCACAGACTATCATGATTGTACAAAATTCCTTTCCTTCAAGTTTTCTAACTATGCATTTTGTTTTTACCACAGGGCTCAATAAATAGTTAATAGAATCACCAAATAAATGAAAACATATAAAACATGAAGTTAGTTCCTTTTAATAATTTATAATAAATGCTTATAATGAAAACATGTATATACGGCAGTTTTTCAGTTACCATCTTTTTCCAGATAGCAATTCCCTGCTCCTAATCTCACCTTCTTTAAACAAGAATGGGTATGAGTAGTTTCTTGATTTTTCCCGTTGGGATTGTTGGTGACAGTTCAGTCTATATTGTTATAGGTGGGTCGATGAAGTTATTCCTGATGCTCCATGGGTCATCACAGAGGAGTTCCTTGATAAACACAAGATAGACTATGTGGCCCATGACTCTCTTCCGTAAGTTTAATCAGCTAATTTCTTTTTTCAATTTTTAAGTAGTATATTTTAAATTTTATTGGCCATGAAGACTCTTAAGCCTTAGTTGTTGACATTAATAATAAAATGGACGGTTCTTTGGCTGCAGTTCTGGATAACTTATTATAGAGACCTGATTCTTCATTTTAAATTGATTCTGTTTAGATATGCAGATGCAAGTGGAGCTAGCAATGATGTCTATCAATTTGTTAGTTGTTTCCCTTGTTCCTTCCTGATAATTGTTAGCATAATTTGTTGTTTGCTCAAATATGCAGATTAACTCTTATTAGTGTACATTTAATGTAGGTTAAAGCAGTTGGGAAATTCAAGGAGACACAGCGCACAGAAGGGGTATCAACATCAGATATTATAATGAGGATTCTTAAAGATTACAATCAGTACATAATGCGAAACTTAGCCCGTGGTTATTCAAGGGAAGACCTTGGTGTGAGCTATGTGAAGGTGCAATCAGATAACATAATTTTTAATTGTTTATATTACCATGTAATAAAGGATACCTTGATTCGATTACATGCATACGAATTTCTGTTATTGTTTACATTACCATGCATACATAAATTTTTTTACTCCACTTTCTCTGTTAGGCTTATGTTCTTAATGAAAGCATGGATCCTTATCTTTTTTTTTTTTTTGGTGGTAGGAGAAACAATTGAGAGTGAATATGGGAATAACCAAATTGCGAGAGAAAGTAAAGGAACAACAAGAGAAGGTGGGACAGAAGGTTTGTACTTCCTGATCCAAAATGTAGCTTCTCAATCAGATGCATATTAGGATTTGCTATTATCTATTGTTTTAAAGTTCTGAAAAGTATTCTCTCTTTATCAGTAAGGTTCTCTTTGTTTAGAAATTGTTACTGATAAGTAGGATTCTGTAAAATGTTAAACATTATCCCAAAATGGATAATAGGATTTGCTATCTTAAATCTGTATGAGACTTCTTAAATGTGCTTAGGATAGTTACATTAGATTCTATGCTGGATTTCTTTTCCTTCTATTTTTGTTTCTTTTTCTATTCTCTTAAGTTCTGAAAACTAATTTGGTGATTCTCTGACCAAATAGATTAGGCCAATGTGGAATCACATCACTGTATTGTTTCATAGATGTGTTAGTGTACAAATTAATATATTTGTCCTACCTGAATCCAATTTTGGCTCAACCTTGTTCATGTTGTTCACTTGATATAGGTGCCACATTGTGTAAACTTATGACATACAACAGCACATGGCCATTATATTCCATATTAGATTGTTCCATGTTTATAATTTAGTCATTTTACCCGGGTGACTATACTGTTTTATCATTTCTATTTTACAGTAAACTTGTTGCATATTCACTAATACTTTACATTGCCATGGGCTGTTTATGACTTTTAAATTTTGTATATTTATGTAGACATATATGGTGCTTGACAGTAATTCAAATCCCATATATTAGTGGCCTCTGGATTGATCAACATTTTTCAACCCCATAAGTCCCATCTCAGCCATATATCCCACCATGTATTGGAATTTTTCTGATAGATGTGAACAGTCTCAAGTTTTAATATATAATTAAAGAATGGCCTTACAGAAGGCTTATGTTGGTCATTTAAGCTAAAACTTGCCTTGTGAATGGAGGGCAATAAGAGGAACATTTATGGTCTTTTTGGACCCTTAACAATATAGCTATATGGAAGATACCTAATTATTTAGACTAGAAGATCTTTCCACTGCATAATCATATAGTGTGCAAAATCTGCATTGTTTGCTAGTTGACTCCTTTGGAGAAGTTAGTTAAACAACCAAGAAATTTTACATGTTGAAACATGTTGGGGGAGTAAAAAGCTCCATGTGTTCCATGACAGAAATTGGGTGGTTCTAAATTTTGATGTTTCGATTTTCAAAGGCAATAATTCGGAACATATTATTTCATGGAGTTTCACCCATGAACTAATCATGTAAATGCACATTTAAGTATTCCTGTCTCAGCGTTTGCACTGTTTCAAGTAAACAACAAATCTAATTTTATCTGTCTTCATTACTTGATTTCCAAGTAATATTTTGTTGGGAATGACAGTTTTCTGATGGCCTTAAGGTGTGTGTTGGTTTCAGTTGCATACTGTGGCAAAGACGGCTGGTATGCATCATGGGGAGTGGGTTGAGAATGCAGATCGCTGGGTTGCAGGTTTCCTTGAGAAGTTTGAGGAAGGTTGCCACATAATGGTAAGTTAGAGAATAGGGAGCTATTATCTTCTTCTAAACTTCTAGCCATTACCTATTACCTCATTCTATCTTCTTATCTTTTTAAACAGGAAACAGCCATCAAAGATCGCATCCAAGAAGGCCTGAAGAGGCAGCAGTCCAAAGCCACGGAAAATCTACTCCTGGATGAGTAGTCTTGAGATGAATGGTTTCAAGTCCTATGTCTAAAATGTAGGATAAAGTAAAACAATTGAGATGCAGGAATCATTGTTAGTATGATTTCTTCCCTTTATTATTATGCTGTTATATGTGCTTGTAAAGTTGGTGGTGCAACATATGATGAAAATAGTAAAAGTGCAATCTATGTGTGCCACTGCACAAAGCAGATTGAGAATTGTACCAGTGTCTTCATCCATTAAAAGCCTCATTTTTTAGCTCTTATTTTTATTGATTAAATACCATATCCTTCCATTTATTTCATGATTAATCAAGGGCGCTTCTGTGCTTTATTCCCTTTGATGGTTATTTCATGCTTTGAATTTGTGTACTTGTATCTTGTATGGCTAAATGCAAGGTTCGAAATATGGCAATGTATCAGTATGTATCTTACGACACATATCGGTAAATAGATAACATAAGCAAATGATTTAGACTAGTTCAAATTAATCATCCAATTTGTCTTGACACGACCAAAAGACATTCTCATGCTTTCCTGAACAGCAGCTAAAATTAGCAAATTCTGAATCCGAAATCACAATAAAATTATCCCAACCCTGCTCAGCAGCTAAATTAGCGCTCTTAATATAGCCCCCAGATCTGCTTCCAAGGGGGCTTAAAATACTTCTCAGCTCCCCCATAAGGAAAGATTTACCCCTCTTCCTATCTTATTCATTGGGCCCCGTGTAGCACCGAATGCATTGAATAGCCTAAACGACAAGCAACAATACAAGAAAAGACAATAAGATGATATACAAATTAGTCAAAAGATGCTTTGTATTGCATTAAAGGATGACAAGCATAACCTTACAAGTTTGTGTTGAAGGAATCTCGTGTTTAACTTTTACACGGTATTGGTACCACTCAACTATTTACCTCTCCTCAAAGAGTAACTTAAACCTTTGGTGCTTTGATATAAAAATACATCAAAATATTGAAAAATCATATTAGTATTTATAATAATGCCATTAGTATTCTTCCATACAAAATACACATGTTGCCCCACCCAAGACACACTAGATGACACTTTGACGGCGTGATGCAAGTACGGTGTGAAGGTACTTGATGGCATGGCGAAATGGCAAATTGTGACAAGGGAGTCCCTAGAAAATAAGTCCGGATCTCCTGCCCACGAGAATCCTGCTCATGTCTACCCACAACACATTATCCCCGTGAATTCAGAACATCTCCCCCTGCATAATACTATGCAAAGGATGAGATGTTCTCCATGTGTGACTGAGATAAATGTGGGCAGAGTTTGTGTGGGCAGGAGATCCGGACTCTTAGAAAATACCGTTGTCCATACTTTCGCTTTGCACTACAACTCTACAACATCCAGAACTGTGCGCAGATCCTCTGTAGCCAGAAGGTCCATAAACTCCAATAGCGGGGATTCACTAGCCCATACTTCTAAAGGTGATTTTACCGTTGAGACGGCTTACCTAAATGAATGCCTCTTTAATTTGGGCTATTTCAATTGGGCGTCCAAGTGGTGTTTGGAAGCCTAAGTGCCCTCCTAACTTGAAATTGTTTTTGTTCCTCTTTTTTAAGTGATGGACTTCCTAAAAAGATGAAATCTGTGATTGATGAGTGTTTATGTTTGAACTTTGAAACTGTTGATCTTGACATTCAGGCCTCGTTTGCTTTTCGGTAAGTTATTTACCCGGTTAAATGCAGTTACTTAGGTAAGTTTTTCTTAGGAAACACTTATCCGGGTAAGTGCATTTACCCATATTCTTTTATTTCTCATGTAAATAAGGCAATGACCATTTTAGCTACAAAAATCCATTATTAAAAAGGGTATTTTTGTCCCATTCAAGTGTTGGCAACTTTCCCCCTAGGTGGGAAAGTTATTTATCCACCTAGGAGAAAATAAACTCACCCTGGTCCCACATAAATTTGAAAAAAGAACATGGGATTCTTGGTCAATGGGAACCCAGATCCCACTGACCAACTTTCCTCCCTCTCAAAATCCGAAAAATGAATACCCCCTCTGTATTCTCATGTGTTTTGCGAAGCTAACCAGGCGGTGGTGGATTGGCTCACTAAGGAAGCTTTCAACGGCATAGTTGTGGACATTTCTTTTATTCCTTTGCCCCTTTCTCTCTTTGTTTTTTTTTTCGGATTTTGGGGGACAGTGCTACTCCCCTATGGCTAGTGGCCACCTGTTGCCATCGTCTTCTATAGCTCCTGTTTTCTTATTAGAAATAAAATGTTTTTAAGAAATTGTTGTTTTTGTTAAGTAAAACATATAATAATATGCCTTACCCCTTCCTAGCCCTTCCATGTAGCCACCTGGCTGCTAGGGGTGGATTCGAGCTAAGCCAAGCCAAATAGCTAACTATTCGAGCTCGGCTCACTAAGGCAGTACAAGGATTGAGCTCGAGCTTGAGCTCGGTTTGAGCTAGAACCTTGAGCTCGAGCTTGGCTCAAGTCAAAAGCCCATAAGCTCGAGCTCGTCTTGGCTCAAGCTCAACTTGAGAAAAATGTTTTAAATTATATATAAAAAAATATTTTTATTTGATAATTAAAAAATAAGAATTATAATAATTAGTTATTATTATTATATATAAAATAAAAATATTATATATATAATATTCTTATTGTATATATTATTTTCTATAATTTTATACTTATTATTATTATTATTATGTAGCTATTCGAGAGGCTCAAGCTCGACTCGAAGCTCTGTTGAAACCGAGCTGAGCCGAGATCGAATAGCTCGTGAAGATCTCGGCTCATAGCCACCCCTAGTGGCAACCCTCTCTTCTTCACTAGAGTTCCACTCATATCTCTCTCTCTCATGTTACCAATAAGCTTAACCCCCTCCTAAAATCTCTCCAAAACAATCTTTCCCATCTAAAATTCCTCATTAGACACCTCTTAATCTATATTATAAACCATCTAAAAACCAAAAACGTGGGTAAATTAATTTGGGTAGTTAAATTAATTTGTGAAATATTTTTTATATTTTCAATAAATACTAATATTATTGAATATTATTTAGTAAATATCAACACCTAAACTATAACTTCTCATAATTTTGGTAAATTGAAAATTTTAATTACTAAGAACTACTTGCTGAAAATTACTGCTTTTGGTAATTTAATTTCAGATTTTTTTAAAAATTAATTATTAAAATCAATAATTACTAATAATTAAAAATTAATTAAAATAATAATAAGTACAAATTTAGTAATTTAAAAATATCTGTAGATACTTTCAGTAATTTTGGCCAATTTATTAATATTTAATGATATTACCAAACAATAATTAAAAATTTTCAGTAATTTTTTAGTGAAAAATTAATTTCAATATATATAAATTTATTTTTATATTTTCAGTAATTTTTATATTTACTATAATTTTTTAGCAATAATTAGTGATTTTGTTAATTTAGTGAAACTTAAATTATAAAACTTCCAATTTTCAAATAAATAATTGGAAATTTTTAATAATTTCCATAAGTATTGGATACTACATTTATAATTACCATAATTAATGGAACTATATTTATGGGTTTGGGGGTTGTTTATAGGTTTAGGAGATGACCCCTAGGGTAGGAATGGCAATGGGCGGGTTTGGGGTGGGGATCATACTGCCCATCCCAACCTCGAGTTTTAAATTAATCCCTATCAAAAATTTTAGCCTACATCCCCGGTCCTCGATAGAGAGGGCTTCCCCATTGGGGACCTGAATCCTCGAATTTTTTTAATTAAAAGTTTGCTTTTAGAAAGGTATTTATTTAAAATAAATGAAAAATAAAAATAAAAATAATATTTTAAATATATTTTGATATATATATATATAATATAAATAATGTTATATATTTAATAATATATATATATATATATATATATATATATTTAATATATAATCAGGGTTGGGTGGGGTGTGGACTTCACTCCCCATCCCCAATTAAGTATTCCTATTAATTCCATCCCCACCCTATTGCCGCTAAGGCAATCTCCATCCCATACCCGCTTGATCGGGAGGTCGGGTACTTGGTGGAGATGGAGAAAATTGCCATCCCTATCCCATGTTGTATAACTCCATGGAACAATAAGTTTTAAGTCCAATTTCGACATCTCACGGGGACCTGCTATAATAATCATAAAATCTTTATATTATACAACATAAAATCTTTCAAACCCAATTGCCATGCTCAAGCCTGATTCAACCCAACCCAAGCCCGATGCCAACCCAAGTTTGTGTTAAATTAAGCTCAGCTTGGAGCTAGGTTGGTAAGCTGGAACTTGACCTCGAGTTGAGGCATGCTCAAGCTCGAAGTTTGTGGCCTAGATTGACCTCCAATCTGACCCAATCCGCTCAATTTTGCACCCCGCCTGGTAAACATTAATATTATCTTCTTTAACGCCATGAAAAAGAAGCATAAAAGAAAAAAGATAATTTATTATTGACAGACAAAATACCTAATTCCCTCTGCATCTTTATTGCAAAAGTCAACCCATGGTTTGCCATGTAAAAATATCAGGTTAGTTGGTATTATAAATTTATAACTACAACAGTTAACTTAATAAATTGATGATACAAACAGGTCGGGTATTAGTTGGTATTATAACTATATCAGTTAATAAATTGATGGATACAAATGGGTCGGACTTTTTTTTTTGAAAAGAGAAGAAATGTATTACACACATTAATTAGCCTTTACATTCTTATTTGATGTCGTCCAAGGAGCTAGAATCAATTAGCTTATGTTTGGTTTGAAGGAAAAGGTAGGAAAACCTATACAAGGTTTTTCCTTTTCCTACCTTTTCCTTCAAACCAAATATAGCATTAAGACTTAACACAATTAGTTAACTCTAACAAAGAGAAATAATAAGCATTGATGCCATAGATTAACAGAATTAGGGTGCTAGGTAGAGGTTTGGCAGTGTATGATGGGCAAATGGAGGTATCAGATCATTCAGCAGAGAAATTGAAGAGATTGGCAAATACGATCATTGTTGTCGACTACTACTAAACTACGCCTGGCCTTCAGTCAGACATAAAATAGGCAATGATGGTTGGCCCTTCTGCTCCTCACGCGGCGTGAAGTTGGTTATGAATTGTAGTTTTACACTTTTATCCGTCCAAAATGGTGGATGACGATGAGAAGATGGATAGAAATAGTGATTGCCATTGACACTCGGGTACGAGGAGAGAGAGATGGTTGGATGATGGATGGCCGCCGTTCTCCGGGTGTTTAAGAAGGAAACCTCCGAATGAAAAACCTTTTGGATCTAAATGGGTATGGTTAAGGGTTTT